AGGAATAAGAGCTATATCACTCATTTCATGTTAAGATTGTAACCATCACTTCTAAGTGCTACCAGATCTAAGATTAAACACTTTTTTTTAAGTTCAACACTTCATAGAACTATTTTCTAAAATAAATAATCTTTATTATTTTTGGTTAAACAACTTGACATTTTAAAAGAAGAAAAACTGAATATATATATGTGTGTGTGTATGTGTATATATATATATGTATGTGTGTATATATATAAAAGAAATGTATACATATTTTCCTCACTAGAGCTTCAAAATCTTGCAATTACTTAATTTTACTATATGACTTGCTGATATTTATGAATACTTCAAAATAATAAACATTTTCAAACTTACTTCCTAATTAATTTTACTAACATTTTTTTTAAAAACAACAAAAATAGAAACAAAGAAATTGAAGACACTTGTAAAAACAGTTCAAAATTAGGAGTCAAAATATTTTATTCTGATCCTGGCTCTTCCATTTAATTTTATACCAACACCTGCACTTTGGTTTACCTGCGCACCTGTCCTATGTTTTTATAAAATTTAAATTGATGATTAACGAGTTTTGTAAACCATGTACTCCTGCTATTCTATCCTGTTTTTCAAAAACAAAAAAACACACATGCCTCTTGTATTACTTTCTGATTGCTGCTTTAACGGATTACCACAAATACACTGGTTTAAAAACACATTTATTATCTATCTCACAGTTCTGCAGTGTGTGCGTGTGTGTCAATCAAGCATTTGGTTCATCTGAGAGAAGACTCTGTTCCAAGTGTGAGCTGAGATTATCTGGGGGACACTTCATAGAAAGTCTTAAAAGACCCGGGATAGTATCTCAACCCACCAGGGGGTTTCAGAAGAGAATCCAACTAGGAGATGCAGTAGGGGCACAAGTGACAGGTGTCAAGAAGAACCTGCTGTATCTGCAGGGACGGGATCACTGGAGAGAACAGGTTATCTAGAAGTTAGGGTTTGATGGTGAGGACACTCTGGCCATTTTGTCACTGATGGGGCAGAAAGGGGTCTGACTGATGCCAATCACAGTTTCTTGCTCAATCCAAACAGCAGGATGAGGTCACAGACCCTTTCCTTGCACCATGCACAGAACGCTTTTCTTTTGAAGACTTTAAAAAATAATGCTAGTATCCAAGATGCTATGCAAATCAGAGCTAAGAAAAAGTTCTCAGAAGACATGCGGGGAGAGTATCATGGGAACGGTTTCTCCCCCGTCAACTCAAGGACTCCCATTCCCAGCACCCCGACTGCTGCAGCTCAGCGGGTCTACGAAGCCTTGGCTTCAAAGGCAGGCAAGAAGCAGTCACCCAGCTCCCCAGAGCCACCACAGGCTCTGGGAGAAAGCAGCAATAAAGCAAACCAGGTCTCCAACCATCCAGGACTACTTCCTGTGGTGGTGCTTTACCTAAAGGCCAAAAGATGAAACATCCCGGGAGTCTAAGAATAATTTTCACAATTGCACAAACATTTTTAAGAGGAAATCTCAATAATCTGCATTAAATAACTAACCCCCTTTTCCATGCATCCAGTAAAGTTAACCAAATAAAATGGTTTTCATTTAGTAATGAGTAAGATCATGACTGTCGGCTATGCGAGGGCTCATGAAGAGCTGCCTTAATCAGTTCAAAGCAATGACTTCTTGAGCAGAAAAGAGCAAAACCCAGTTTTTGACCTTTCCTTAGAATCAAAACTCAGGCTATGGAAATGGGGATTTACAAGAGATGAGATTACGACAGTGCTAAAATTTTAGCCTCTATATACTCTTTCTTCCTACCTTTCTGAATGTGAGATGAAAGCTGCACCTACAAATATTAATCAAATTGTCATAAGATTATTTAAATGAAAATATTAAGAGAAGTGAAATTACTGTTAAGATGCTGTCAATACACAACTTAAGCTACAAGGAAATTACAACATATTTTATGAATAATATAACATGAAAATATCATTATACACAATACTATAGGATTAGGAGTTAAATACCTATTAAGAATGACAAATATCCTTAGTTTAAGGCAGCTGTCTCCAATCTTTTTGGCACCAGCGACCAGTGCTCCTATGAGAATCTAATGCCTGATGATCTGAGGTGGAGCTGAAGCAGTGATGCTGGTGCTGCGGAGCAGATGCAAATACAGATGAAGCTTTGCTCGCTCACCTGTTGCTCACCTGCTGCTCACCTCCTGCTGTGTGGCCCAGTTTCTAACAGGCCACGAACCAGTACCAGAATGTGGCCTGGCGGTTGGGGACCCCTGCTTTAAGGCATCTTCCAGTTCACTTTTTCCAAAAAAATTTTTATTGAGGTGAGATTCACATAAGCATAAAATTAACCATTTGAAGTGAACAATTCAGTGGTATTTAATATTCACAACGTTGTGCAGTCACGTTTATGTAATTCTATAAGATTCATCACCCCAAAAGGAAACCCCATGCCTGTTAAGCAGTTGCTCCTCATTCTTTCTTGATTTCCCTTTGCCCATTAACCACCAATCTACATCCATCTGTCTGGATTTACCTTCTTTGGATATTTCATACAAATGGACTCATAATATATTCCCTTTCATGTCTAGCTTTCATGTCATTTAGCATAATGTTTTTGAGGATCATCCATGCTGTAGTACCTATCAGTGCTTCATTCTTTTTGATGAATAATATTCAACATATGTACACTACACAATTTGTGTATCCATTCATCCACTGATGGCCATTTGGGCTGTTTCCATCTTTTGGCTATTGCAAATAGTGCTGCTATAAACATCTGTGTATAAGCCTTTGTTTGAACATCTGTTTTTAACTCTTTTGGGTATATATCTAGAAGTATTCAATGGGTTATATGGCAATTCTATGTTTAACTTGTCAAGGAACCGTCAACGAGACAGTTTCCCAAAGAAGATATACGAATGGCCAACAAATGCGT